TCCTGCCTTGCTTGCAGTCATTCCAGCCACAGATCTGTCGGAGCAGATTTCCACGGCAGGCACCGAAGCCTCGGGGACAGGCAATATGAAGTTCATGCTGAATGGGGCCCTGACCATCGGGACCATGGATGGGGCCAACGTGGAAATGGCAGAGGAAGCCGGGGAAGAGAACCTGTTCATCTTTGGCATGAGAATCGATGATGTTGCTGCTTTGGACAAGAAAGGGTGAGAGAACAGCTCTCCCAGAAGGGTACCTGCCCTCCCAGGTATCCCACTGAGGCTGAGTCAGTGAAACTTGAGAGCAGACATCTCCCATAAGTCAGAGGAGCCTCCCGGCCACACACTAGTCTTATGAAACCCAGCAAGTGAAAGAGGAGCTTGGGCCCCGGTGCATGGGGGTTGTCACTCTTTGGTATCAGCCAGTGCAGAGCTAGTCACTTCTCTGCTTCCTGTGATTTTTACCTTGATCAAAAGATGAACCAGTTTTCAGTTAAAGGTTTAAAACATCTAGTGCTCCTTTAAGATGGCAAAGAGATGGACTAAAATGTGGGAGGGGGTAGGTGTGGATGTACAGAAGCACCCAGGAATAGTTTCTCTTAGTGTCTGGGTAGGTTTATTAACCTGGATTCAAACAAGAAATAAAAGAGTGCTGCCCAAAGGAACTACAGGGGTCACAAAATTTGGAGGGTGTCAGGTATACTTCCTGATGCTGGGAAGTAAATTTTAACTCAGTAGCAACAAGTTTGGGGATCTGTGGGTCCAAAAACTGGTTCACTTAATACAATGCTTGTTTAGAGCTGTCAAGTCTGCTTTGAAATGATTCTTACTGTATTTTACCAGATTTGACTATTGCTCTGCAACTAGAACTTTTTAATCTATTATCAGTGTCTTCATTTACAAGGAATTAATCAACTTTAAGTGGGAAAAAATGTCAGGATCTAGTCAAATATTGTTGATACCCATATTGAACTTTATGACTTCTGCAAGTGCCGGTATCTGAATGCATCTTTCACAGCTAATGTGGTGTTATCAATCACAAACACTCACAGAGCCGCCGCCTTATCACACCCTCACCCCACAGGTACAAAGCAAAAGAATATTACGAGGCACTTCCAGAGCTGAAGCTGGCCATTGATCAAATCGACAATGGCTTCTATTCTCCCAAGCAGCCTGACCTCTTCAAAGACGTAATCAACATGCTGTTTTATCATGACAGGTGAGTTCCCCCAAGACGATGATGCTATTTTGGCCGTGAAAAGGGAGCAAGAACATCTTAAACCAGCTACAACCCAACCATGTCGATGAACATAGATCTGTGATGGGATAAGCTAACCTAGGCTTGGAAAGAAAAATTAGATATTCTCTGCTGGCAATGCTAGGAAGCTAAGAATAAGACCCGCACATCTGGTCGTCTTTTCCTACTCCCACGGTGTACACAGCTTTCAGATGCATCCACGAGATGGTCTTCCATGTGGGAAGGACCATAGAAAGATTGAGGGCTGTTTAAAGTTCTTGTGAATAGAAATGTGAGTTTGGTAAACCAGCCATGCCTGACATTAAGCAAAGGAGAATTTTAAATGGACTCAACACATATTTGTTAATGAAGCTTTTTGTTCTGATTTTTCCTTCCAATCACAAAAAAACAGGTTTAAAGTGTTTGCAGACTATGAAGCGTATGTCAAGTGTCAAGAAAAAGTCAGCCAGCTGTACATGGTGAGTATACCGCTGAGACTTAAAAAAGTAAATCAGCTTACTATGGGTAATTTTTTTTAATATGTCTTTATTATTGATTTCAGAGAGAGGAAAGGAGAGGGAGAGAGAGAGAGAAACATCAATGATGAGAAAGTCCTCATTGATCAGCTGCCTCCTACATGCCCCCGACCGAGGGTTGAGTCCAGGCATGTGCCCTGACTGGGAATCGAACCTCGATCTCCTGGATCCTAGGTCAATGCTCAACTACTGAGCCATACCAGCCGGGCATACTATGGTTAATTTAAAATTTTGTCTTTTTTTTATTAAATCTAAATAACAGGGCCCACTGACCCATCAAAAAGGGAAGTGAGATAACGGTCTAACTTGTTCAGATCAAAATTTGACTTTTCCCAAGTTCAGGCAGAGGTTGACTTGACATTTCAGTAGCAGTTGTAAATGTTTTAATATCCAAGTAAAAAAATCACAAATAATTTGATATTTATTGAGCCCCCACCATGTAGCAGGTATGTCCTGGAAACTAAAGGTGTAAAGCCAAATTGAATACTCGTTTTACCCACTCATTTGTTCAGCGGAGAGGCACTGGGGCCTTCTGCATGGCAGGCACTGTGCTGAGCACTGAGACCCCAGCATGGACAAAGTCAGGCCCTCCTTCCCTCCCCTCAAGGAGCCTGTTTAGTGTTCATCACCAAGGTAGCTTTTTAAAGTAAAAATACCAGTCCTCTCAGAGAGATCCTGACCTAGTAGTGGGTGGGATCACTCTCAGTATTTGAAAAACCTGCTAAAATGATTCTGATGCTGAGCCTTAGTTTATTGGGATAAAGACTGGCCTCCTATCTTTGAAAACTGCAAAAACAAAAAAGTAGGGGGAGAGGAAGGAAAGGAAAGGCCAGAGCCACATACATCTTTGTCAAATAGCCCAGCCTCTGGCTGCATTTAGTAGATCTGATCATCTCTGATAGAAAAGACTTTTAGTGAATTTCAGGCCCCACAGAAGAACAGACGCCAGGAGAGGCTGGCTCTGTGCCAGGACTCCAGGATGGGTCTCTCGACGTCGATGTCCTTGAGCCTTCTTCTGGGTTGCCGTTGCCCCCATAGTCTTTTTTTTTTTTTTTGCCCTCCAATTTGGAAAGCATTCTACAGCAGAATAGTGAGGATCCATAAAACCACCACCTCCTGCCCTTTGTACACATCAGTAACTATTTCCAACAGAAACATACTTCACTAACATTTCTTTCTATTCCTTTCCCAAAGCAGGTAACAGGGTGGTTCCTATAGTCATCCAAGGTATCCCGTTGGAGTTTTAAAATAGGATCATTCAAGGCTCAAGCTGCTTCACAGCCCTTATCTCCTGGTAGAGTCATATCCAGCCCCCCAAAAGTGTACAGACGAGAGTAAATTCAAGGGAATGGCCACAAGCAAGGAGAGGCAGTACTAGAGTTAGGCTCAGTGGCTCACTCCCTGCTTCCTGAGCACTGGAGACAATAGCCACATACAGCAACAGAGGGAGGGAAATGGCCACCCCTAGCTCTTTTCTCTTGATTTCTACCCATGCATGTATGTAGAAAGGCTACAGGGGGACAGAAATATAAACAAAATAGAACAGGAAAGGAATGTCTGACCCAGGGCAAGCACAAACGTGAATGTTGAATTTGCACAATGGGTCTCTTCTGTTAAAATGATGGCCCCCGTCCAAAGGATGCCCATCTAGAAGCCAGGCGTGTGGCTCATTCTTTTTTGTTCATTAGTGCAAACTGCAGTTTTTACTCTTAACAATAACTGTATTGTTGAGGCTTAATGACTAGGCTTCCCAACCACATGGGGGAGGGGGAGGTCTAAGCCTCAACAATACAAAGAAAGTGAATAGAGGAGCTTTTACTCCCTTATTTTAGTAAGTTTCCAGAGTCTGAACAACCTAATTTCAGAGTCTTTTCTGTGGTACCTTAAGGAATGATGGTAGTTTGAGGTTTTGTTTTTTAATGCTTATAATGCATTGCTATTGCTATTGGTTTTGAATAGTGTTCTGGTCATTTTCAGTGAACTCTTAGAGTTCTTTACAAAATCATGAGGCTATAAAATAAATACTTTCTTATATTCTTAGTTGTATAAAAATTATGAGATTTGGATGATACATATTTTATTAAGGATAAAACCTTAATTGATCCTGTTTTGAAACCCCAGTGGGATTCAGTATCCTACTGGCACATCTACCTTCAGAAAGAACAAGAAAAGCAGAAAGCAGGTCAATAAAGGCTGTCACTGGATCGTTTCCTGATAGCCAGCATCCTAGCATAGTGTTTCTCAAACTTTTTGAGCCGCAGGTTCAATCTCTTGACAAGGTTTCTAGCAGATAATGAATGTTAGTGTCCCCTCCTTTCCTCTGTAGTTTAAAGGAAGGTATCTTCATTCTAAATAAAGCATAGGAAATGTGATTTCCATGCCAAAACACTGTAACTATAGCAAAAATGATCAAATAGGTCATTTACATACATGGTTTCTCTGAAAATGAAAAATACATTTTTTTATTCTTAAGAGAAATATATACTCTAAATAGGAGAAAAGCACAGTCTGCCCTATTTAGCTCTCAACTGTGAAACACATGGATTTGTGAATCACTACCATTCACTCCTGTCATTTTCTCCATGTAATGTGCTTCAGTATGCTCTGCCTGATGTTTGTCAGCCCCGTGGGCAGTCAGGCTATGTTGTCTGTGTTGCTTACAGAATCCAAAGGCCTGGAACACAATGGTACTCAAAAACATAGCTGCCTCGGGAAAATTCTCCAGTGACCGAACAATTAAGGAGTATGCCAGGGACATCTGGAACATGGAGCCTTCAGATCTAAAGATTTCCCTGTCCAATGAATCTAGCAGTGGGGTGTACAAGGCCAATGGAAAGTAAGTTGTAAAATGTCTCTAGGAAAAAAAATAGCTTCTTATTGGACTTGAACAGTTTTGCAACATTCTTTGATTTTGTTTTGTTTTGTTAGTTAACAATCCAGTTAAGTATCTCAGGGGATTGGGAGGGGAAAGTGTATAACTGTATTAGATAGAGCTAAAAATAAAGTGTCAATTTCCAGAGCTACCTGAGTGTCAAAAGGTATTATTTTATAACAAATTGAGTGGCATGCTAGGGCTTTCCCCAACCTAATCAGAAAGCTAGAAAACTGCTTGGGACTTTGTAAATGCCATGTAAATAAATTAAACGAAAACACAAATTATTTACATTGGAGCACCTTTCTTACACTGCTGTTATCTAAATCCAAACCAAACACCACACCTGATTCACAAATAGCCCAGGATGTTTGGTAACTACACATTTTTATATGGGATCCAGTTTTTACCAAATTCTGATTCCCCACATGATGTTTCAGCATATTCCACACAGCAGACTATGATAAGCTAAATGAGAACATTCTGTACTGCCCAGGATCCATGCTTTGTAGCTGGCAAGTGACTCGTAGAAATACCAGTGACTTTAGCTCGTCCAAGCAACCCAGTACAATTTTACACAAAAAATATACAGCACAGGTGATGTTTGGACCAAGTCTTCGCTGAAGATTTCTGCCGCTCTCAGACCTCATGCCCACTGCTGGCTCAGGAAATCTCTGCAGAAAAAGGACCTAGATCAGATCACATGCTCTCCCCACCTCATGGTCCAAGTAAACCAGAGCAGCCCTAATTGCCCTTAAGGGAAGAAAATCACATTTAGCAAAGCTACTCTTACCTCACAGTTTTTAACAGTGTGGGACTTCTACAAAGCAGGTTGTGTTGAAAGCCAGGAGGAAAGATCACCATCTTGACCCTCTCTTTGTTCCGATATGCACTGTGTGCAATTTCATAGAGCTGCCAGGGGACAGAAAGACAGAGACTCAAAGGCTCACCATCAAGGTGTTGCTTTTCTAGTCTAATTGTCTTAAAAGGGCACAGAAGCACCAGTGTGAGGAGTTAGTCCTGTTGGGTCAGAGATGTGGGGACTCTCCACGTTCCCAGCTGGCTGCCTCTCCAACTAAAGGGCTGAAAGCTGCCTGCCTACGAGGGAACGCAGGCAGAACCTCACCCTGCCGCCGTCCACGCCTCCCTGCACGGGGACAAGGGACTGTGATGGACACACTCTGTTTGGTTAAAAGAAAGGAAACTGCGTCCCCATTTTTAGAGCCACTACAGGGAAGACTACGTGGCGGTTCCCATAGTGTCCTGGGATCTTCACGCCACTTCCAGGCTCACAGACCCCACGTGAGGAGCCAGGGTCCACCACAAAGGCTCCTCTGCGCTGAGCAGCGTGGATCTTACTGAATACACCAGGCAGCGTGGCTGCGATGGGCGTGGAGGGTCCCCGTGTGTGTCAGACCCTCCTTTGGGCTCTAGTCAGAGTTTGACTGGAAGAGATGGTGAGTAAGTACAGCGTGTGTCAGTCAGCACGGAGCTCCTGGTTTACCTGTTTTCCATTCTCCAAGGGCACGGTGCTGTCATCCTCGCCGTGAAGGATGAGGAGGGGGGAGGACAGGAATTTGACACTAGGAACAGGCAGGAGACAAGCATTCAGTTCAAGAATTATACGCTGGGATTGCTCTTCTTCCTCCGAGTTAAAGCTTTACCGAAACATGAGGTCTGCCCAAAATGCAGGAACTCGCTTTCCTTCCAGCCCAGGAATGACAATTTCATGTAAAACAAACTTCACACAGTGACTTGTTTTTCCTCTGGGTAAGAGGCTCCCTCTTCTGTTTACTCATACCATGTCATTAGGTATCTAATTTAATCTTCTGCAATGTGGGGTTTTTTTTTTAAATAACGAAGAACACTGAAATACTGAATTTATACAGAACTGAAAAAGCCTCATCTTTTTCCTTACTCTACGTTATATCATAATATTTGGATTATAATTAAAAGACTATAAAAGAGCCCTGTTGGTTGAGCACTGTCCTGCGCACTGAAAGGTCTCGAGTTCGATTCCTGGTCAGGGCACAGACCCAGGCTGTGGGTTCAATCCCCAGTCAGAGTGCACATGAGACGCAACCGATCGATGTTTCTCTCTTACGTGGGTGTTTTTCTCTCTCTCTCCCCCCTCCCTTCCTCTCTCTCTAGAAATCAATAAAAACATATTTAAAAAATAAGACTCTCAAAGAAAAGAAAGTAACTCAAAACCCCAAAACAAGAACTATCCCAGGACAAAACAGAACTCTTTGTAGCAATGTAGTTCCTCTTCCCCACAGCTGTACAGGATGAACATGCAGTTAAGAGGTTGATTAGCTTCCCACTCAGCTTCCTACTTTGGTAACTCAAAAAGGCTGTGGCATGAAGAATGCCCGTTCCTGGCTCCAGAGACATTCTCCAACAATACTTCCCTCCCCTACCCAGTTCTGGTAGCCATCCATCCATACCACAGTGACATGCTGTTACTCCCAAGAATGTTAGATCCCTCAAGTGTGTTGAACCAGAAAAAATACTGATAACGACTGACTACTTGCAGGCACTCAACTTCTCCAACTACGAGAGGGTAACTTGCCAAGTTCTAATCACTGGATGTGCTGTCAGGTCGGTAGGTTGGATAGTGGATAGGTTTTGGTTACATGGGGAATGAAGCCTAGAACTCAGGGACCCCCGAAGAAATGTTAGGCTAGACCCAGGAGGGCCTTTAAAAGGTCCTGATAGGCCCGAAATCTACAACTCCCTTTATGACTTCAGAGAAAGGACTGAATCTGTGAAGTCATCAAATTAGTCATGAGGAAAATGTCAAATACTAAAAATTTGTAGACACATTACCCTAAGTCCTGGTGCCCACCTAAGAATTCTCATCTACCCACCCAGTAGTCACATGATAGTCACCCCCAAATCCTACAGACATAGTAATATAATAACAGGCATTTTTCATCATTAGCTTACTTTTCATCATTAGGGAAGACTATTTTGTCTTCTCTCAGGGCATCCATAAGAGTTTGTAAAAATCCTGGAAGTTTCCGGTAAATCTATTTTTTAAAAAGGAAAAAAAATTAAAATTGGGGGATTTGGTAGTAAAATGGGCATGGGTTCTGCAGGTTGGGGCCAGTAAAGACAAATGTTTGCTCCAGTGTTGGCCTCAGCCTGCTGTTTCCAGGAACCTCTGTGGTTTCTTGGGTTTTGTCTGGCCAGCGTGTTTTGCCTGGTCTCAGAGCAGATGATTTGCAGTCAGATGCGGTCCGCATACCCCAACACTGCGTCTCCTTCCCTTTCACCCATACTAAGTGCAAGGTTTCCTGTTTTGTTTTCTTTTATCTTTATCTTCTGATTCCACCGCCCCTGGAATCAGGACTCCTCTGAGGGAAATTCAATAAGAGAAGCCCTTCAGCAATTCATCTCAAATGCCAAAGGAGTGAGAAGAAAGCTGGCCCAAGCCAACCTCCTCTGGTCTTCCTCCCCACCAGCCCAAGTGCCCTTTGAGACTCAGAGGTCATAGCATCCCCTCCAGCCCGGAGCACAGCGACGAGTTCCTAATTGGTCTCCCTGCCTCCTCTCCGTTCTGGAATACCACCAGATAAATATTCTTAAAATGCCAGTTACATGAAATCCACTGTTACATGGCTTTGGGAGTGCCACACTATCTACTTAAAAACAACAACTCCTAGCCTGGCTGCAAGCCCATCCACATGTGACCACAATCTCTCATTCTAAAGGCTGCACATCTCCAATCTGTCTGCCCAGGGTGAGAAAATGTAGGACTGAGTCCCACTTCCTCTTCTTCTAGGGCATGTGACAATGGGGCAAGCCACTAGGCTTCTGTTTCCCTCAGCTCTCAGTGGAGACGATGCCAAACTCACAGAGTTGCTGTGAGGATGTAAAAGGATCCCAAGGGTGAGAGATCTCACAGAAAAGGCTTATATGATTCTCAGCTACCTTATAACACATAATTGCCCCATTCCAGCCATGTGCCTGGACTCACCTTCCCCCTCCTCTCTGGGTGACCTAGCTGCTCTCCCTCACCTTCAAGAAAGCCTAGGTCCTGTCAATGTGAGTCTTCACTGGCCACGTCTGCACAAGAGACCCTTCTCTTCCCTGAGTTCTCCTTACCCTGAACTTACTGTTCTGGGTCCTCCCCTAACACTAACCTTAGTCTACTTTGTAACAGAAAGAGTGGGAAAAGACAACATGCATCTGTTCAGTGCCTATTAGCATAGATTATTTTACTTAATTTAATCTTCGTAACAACCCTAAGCAATAAGCAGTTATCTACCCTGTTACATAAAGATGGGAAACTCAGAGAAGAAAAATAACTTATCTAAGTCATAATTGGTTAGTGGCAGAGGCCAAGTTTGAACTCAAATATTTCTGGCAGAGAGAAAGAGAGAGAGAGACAGAGACAGAGACAGAGACAGAGACAGAGACAGAGACAGAGACAGAGTCAGAAACACTGGCACTAGAGTGATGAGAAGGTCCAATTAGTAAATGGTACTGAACCAACTGCAAAAGTACATACCTGTGATATGGCTCTAAGTGTAAAAGGTAAAACAATTTGTAGAAGATAGCACAGAAGAGTATCTTCATAATCTTTCAGTAAGCAGAGTTTTATTAAACGGGACACTTATATTTAAAAAGGATTAACCATTAAAAAATGTTGGTTAAACTGGTTCACATGAAATTTAGGAACATCTCTTCAATATGAGATGCCATTAAGGGAGTAAAAAGCAAAACAAATATTTTTTTAAAAATAAACAAAAAAGAATATATTTGACAAACAAACCATTTTAATGACTTACCCTATGAAGAACTTCTACAAATAAAAAGACAACTCAATTTAAAAATGAGTTAAAGACATGAACAAGTATCTCACAAGAGATGATATCTATCTAAATGGCTAATAGACATATGAAAAAAAAATGCCTAGCTTCATTAGTCATCAAATGCAAATTAAAACCACAATGAGATATCAATCTGAGGGCAAGGATATAAAGCAACTGGAACTCTCACATACAGTAAGTGGGAGAGTGAGGTGGCAAAGTCACCTTGGAACACTGCTTGGCACTGAACGTATGCCTACCTTATTACCCAGCAATTCTGCTCCCAGGGTATACCACTGAAATGTGTACACAAGTTTAGAGAATACATGTTCAAGAACATTTATAACAATGGTGTTATCAACTACCCCAAACAGAGAGCAATTCAGATGTTCACAAACAATGGACTAGATCAATAAATTGTAGTGTATTTATACAATGAAATACTATATAACAATGAAAATGATCTAACCACAACTATACATCATGGATAAAATCTTACAAATATATGCTGGTTGAAAAAATATAATAGAACACATCCTATATCATTCTAACATATAAAGTTCAAAAACAAACAAAACTATACTGCTTAGAGATGCACACACTGGTGGTAACACTACAAAGAAAAGATATGTGGCTGACACAGGACTGAAAATGATGGACATGATTACTGTAAAATTCAGGCTAAGGATTACAGTTAAGATGAGGCTTATTGGGTTGGGAAGTAACATAGATGAAACTTCTGGTGATGCTAATTTATTGATTTAGGTATTGGTTACATCTTGACTTATGTGTTCATTTTATAATTATTTTCTAATCATGTGTTTTCTCTATTATGTTACTATTAAAATTATAAAATTTCAAAAAAGAAACAAAAGTGGGAAGACTGTATTTGAATTGTTAAATACCTACAAGTTAGTGAATCAGTAATTACTTAGAGTAATATAACAGATGATCAATTAATGGTTATCTTAAAATAAATATTCAGTTGTTTAGAACCAATTGAAAATGTTGTATTTGTTAAATCTCAAATTACTCAGCATTCAGTATTTTGGATTGCAGAGGAGATTCCTGTATTGAGCTGAATCTTAGGTAGTATAGGTATTTTCAAATTTATGTGATTCTGTATACTAGCTGTCCCAGAAGTAATGAGCTACCTTTCCCTGAAATAGGTAAGCAAATTCTAGGAAGTTCGAAGATGATTTATTGTACAAAAGTAGACAGTTGAATAAAAGTGCCCCTACGATGACTTCCAACATTAGAGGACAATTTAAACTTGGGGTCATGTATTCCTTCTAAGAATCTCTCCTATATCTGTCTGCCTCTCTCTCTCTCTCTCCCCCCCATCCTCCCTCTCTCCCTCACTCTCAATCATTTGCTAACATTTATATGGATGTGTGTCTATAAGCAATTGAGCATTGGGTTTGAAATAAAATTATAAAATAAGGATAAGATACACAACAGATAAAAAACTACATCTTGTTGTCCAATTCTTTATACCTTATCTTCTTGGAAAGATTGTCTTCCCTACATGGGATACTGTATAAAATCATTTGGTGGCTTCCTTGAATTCTCTAGAAGCTTTCTTATCATAAAATCATGAAAGACATGGCTGACAGTCATAGGACTAAAAATGATGTATGAGAGGTTTGCTTTCACTTTTTAAAAGACTAATAATAAATAAATAAACCTAAATCAAGTCTATATATTAAAAAATTGTAAAAGATAAGAAGTAAAACTTTGACTCTTAATAAGCCATTCAATCTACTAGAAGAAAATAAAAGACCTACCAAACCCAAAGCCACAGTGCCTTCCTTTAATAGCAACTAGCTAATAACTTGTCTGAAGTTAGAATAACTTAGAAACATATAAAACTAGTTAAGGAATGTGGTTAATAAACACAAGGGTGTGGGAACACTCTGACATCTCATGAAATGAGTAGCAGGCTCACCTTTAGCAAGGGATAATTGATACTGGCAGTCCACATGTTGGTAAACGGAGCTTCCAGAACAAGAGCATCGACTGGGGATCCTCGAAAATAATAAAAAAGAAATAACTGCCTATCACCCCTAAATAGCGCCTTCCCTAAATAAGGGGTACTTAAGGTCTTGTACACAGACTACCCACATCAAAATCACTTGTGAAGCTTATTAATAATGCAAATGCCTGGCCCCCACCCAGACTTACTGAGTTAGAGGTCAGAATCTCCAGGGCTTGGGAGAAGGAAGTGTGAGAATGTGCATTTTTAACAAGCTCCCCC